CATTATAAAGATACATGATCCTCCTTCTCATTGAGAACAGTTGGGCTTTGCTTCCAGTGGAGAGCCAAACCATTTATTTTATAGCTCCATTGTATGCTGCACTGGGAATTGTTCCTACAGATAGAGGTTTCTAGCATGCTTTCCCTATGTACTTTGTTCCACATGCACTGTGCCCTTTGCACATGCTGAGGGCTCTCTCATGAATTACACTTTGCCTGATTTGGTTGGATGGGTTTCCTACGTTTGTGTCCTATAAATTGGCATGGCGATGTATTTATTTTGGTAATCAACCAGTTCTTTGTAAATCTGTGAGCTTAATCCTCCAAGAGAGGGAAATAAAAGGCTCAGCTTTTTTTTTCCCCTAACAATGAAGATAAATACCTTTATTTTCATAACTTTTGGACATCTTTTTTTTCATGGCATCCAGCCAAATCATGAGGTCCTCGCTCAGGCAAGAACACACAGATGTCATTAAGTTCCTCACCAGGCTTGTTAGGGCATGGAAAAACTCTTAAGAGGAAGAATGGTCTCATGGTTTTGCCATTGAGCAAGAATTCACTTCAACTGGGCTAAGCTTTTGCTTCTGCCATATATTTCCAATGTGACCTTGTTTGACCCCCCTCTCTCTATATCTGCTCCCCCAAAATCTCCTGCTGTTGAGCTGATAAATCTCCTTGGTTCAGAGGCCCTCTTGCTGTGGGTCAGTTCGTGCAGGAATTTCGGCCGTGGGGCGTTGCAGAGGCAGTGCAGACCCTGGAGCAGCAGCTGGCTTTTGGCTCTGCCTGAGATCTGGGACCCACTCCCTCCTGCTCCAAGGTGATGGGATGTGAGCCAGGAGCCACCAGGGCTTTTTAATGCTCAGCTGTGCCCAAAATAATAGACATCAGCTCTCACCTTGTTAGCGCAGGAGCTGCGGCAATCAGATTTGGACGAGGTGGTTGTGGTGCTCCTTGCACTGAAGGTGACAGCCCAAGGAACAAGGATGGCTGTTGTGGGATCTGCCCTCCTTTCCTGGCAGCCCATCCCTTCCCAGGAACTCCAGCATCATCCTTCATCTGGTGGTCATTAGTGCTTCAGTCACCTCCTGGTCAGACTGGCTGTGCAAGCATCCAGGTTTCATTCCTGTCTGGAGGTGCTGGAAAGATTTCCCTGCAGGATTTTAAATAATACTGGGAACACAAGCATTAGGGCTGAGTGAGTGAGACTGTGGCTGAGCATGAAGGAGCAGGGTGGTGGGGTGAGGACTGCTCCCTGCACCGAGTGACACTCTGGGGGGAGCTGGCACAGGGAAGCACAGGCTTGGCTCAGGGGACTCATCTCAAGAGGGTGGTACAGAATTTACAGAATTTACAGAATTTACAGAATTCACAGAATCACCAGGTTGGAAGAGACCTTCAAGATCATCGAGTCCAACCCATGCCCTAACATAACTAAACCATGGCACCCAGTGCCACATCCAGGCATTTTTTAAACACATCCAGGGATGGTGACCCTACCACTTCCCTGGACAGCCATTCCAGAACTTTACCATTCTTTCCATGAAAATCTTTTTCCTAACATCCAACCTAAATTTCCCTTGACACAGCTTGAGATTGTGTCCTCTGGTTCTGTCAGTGCTGCCTGGAGAAAGAGACCAACCCCACCTGAGCACAGCCAGCTTTCAGGAGCTGTAGAGAGTGACAAGGTCACCCCAAGTCTCTGTTTCTCCAGGCTAAACACCCCCAGCTCCCTCAGTCATTCCTCACAGGGCTTGTGTTCCAAGCCCCTCACCAGCCTCGTTGCCACAAGGTACAACACATCAGGTCCACTCTTGATGTGGTGCTGATAAGAATCTCCACGTGCTTCCTCCTGCCCTCCATCTTCTGGAAGGGAAAACCTCAGGGCCGTCGCCAGCAGGAGGATGAGGGACAGCACAGTCCTGCTCTGCTGCCATCCTGGGCTGGATGCAAAGGAAAATGTGCTGGATTTCTACCTGGCAGAGCTCCCCCAGCCTGTGCACACAACCATGGTTGTTTTCCTAACACACCTACACTGAGAGCATGAGCTGCAGAGTTTACTTGGGGAGAGTCTCCTTGGGCCTGTCAAGGGTTTGTTCAGCTGTGTGCTCTGCAGAATGGGACCAGGAGGATAAAATCCAGAATCTGGGTGCACAAGAGCCCTTCCCTTGGCCTTGGTGGCTCTGCTAAGAGAGCTGTGGGATTATGGCATGACAAGCACACTACGGCCTCTTCACTCTTCCTTCTCCCAGCCCTGGCTGAAGGTGCTCATCTGGCCCAAAGGCCTCCCTGACCTCCTAAGGATTCATTGGATAAGTGGAAAAACCAAATCCTTGAAGACATGAACTATGGCAACCACCCCCTTGGCTGTAGCACATGTGCTCATTTTTTTGTGGGGAAGCAAAATTCACATCCTAGTAAACCCCAACTATTTCTCTGTCTCTTAACAATAACTATGTCTTCTAAAATACCCTTTTGTGATTTTTTTTTTTAATCTGGATAAAATCAAAACTGGGAAAGGATGTTTATAGAAAGCAGAGATTTCCTAATTTACTTTGTTTCCATAGTCAAAAAAATCTCTTTTACAATAAGTAATGATAATAGTCCATTTTGGTTTTTTTTTTTATACTAGCCTTTACAAACCAAGCAATTTGTTGGCAATAAATCTTCAAGTTGGTTAATTCCTATGAAATTCTGCCAGCAGAATCAAATTATTTTACTACCCCATGTCAAATTAATGGTTGGGTGTCAACTTGTGTCACTTCCTGCTTGAAAAATGACTATGACATTAAGAGGATTTTATTTATGCTTTCCTGCCTGGTGATCAAAAATACCAAAATGCAATTGTAAGGGTGGGGAGAAATCAATTTCATAAATAGCATCACCACCACATGTCTTTGGAGTAAGCCTAAGGTGGTGCCCACACAGCGGGACTTGGGTGCCCTCCCTGGATGTTTGACTCTGTTTTCCATTTTATGACTGGTTGCCATGGGAAGAGAATTAGGATTCAGTGCCCTAAAATCACCTCTGGTCCTTCTTCACTTGATTGCCTGAGTTGATGAGATGGGTGGGATGTGTCCTTTTTGTAATAAGTTGTCTGAAATTCTTCTTTCTAACCCATATTTAGATACGGCAAAAGCCAGAAAGAAAGACCAGAATGTCTTCTGGCTGCTGCCTGGATTAAATTCCCAAAGATGGAAGGAATAACTTCTGTACTCTCATGCTACTGGTCTCATATGTGTCCATTTCTGAGAAAGTGCTCAGTCTTGGTGCCCAGGAAGTTCGTGGCACCTTGATGGGATGCCAACTGTAATCTATTAATTTTACTGATTATTAGTTACTAATAAGTTGTTTTTTAGTGGCTAATTGTTTTATGGTGACACCTGCAATGTACAGAGACCATGCAGGGGTGCATGGTCAGCTGCAGGCCAGCCTGGAAGAAGTTCACTGTCTTTGGTCCAAGTTTTGGAAGAAAAACACAAAGAAACTCCATATCACGGTTTGGGGAGAACAGAATAAGCAAATGAAAAAAGAAACCGCTCTGTCCTATGATTTGTGGTGTTGCAATGTCCTTGTGAGAAACGCTCCATCAATAACTGGTGCCCTTTTCTGCAAAGGGACAAAGAACCAGGCGAGATTGTCCCACTGGGAAGTTTATTTGTTCAGAAAGCAACGATCTTCGACAGGCCCATGGGCAGCTGGAGAGAGTGGCCTGGATGGATTCACCTCCCTGCTTTCCCCCATCCAGCCCAGGCAGGCAGATGGAAAGAGCAGCTGCCAAGCTCACCACACCTCTGCAATAACAATCAGGGATCAGCTCACCTCTGGCCCTCGACCAGTGTCTGGAGAAACTCTCCTGGTGCCAGCTGCCCCACATTCAAGGCTATCCTTTGGCTGGAATCCCCAGGGATTTGGCTTTCAGAGCACTGGTGAGGTGCAGCCCCAAAGGCCAGGCGAGGACGTTGGGATGGGCAGCATGAAAGACAATCCTCCTTCTGAGTCAGCTCTCAGCTCCTCCAGCACTGCCAGGACTGTTTCTCTTGCTGCCCTGGCTATAGCTGTTCTCTCTGAGCCCAGATATTTCCACTGTATATTTTGGGAAGGACTGGAACGTTCCACTGAGTCTTCCAAAATCTGAGTATCATTCTTTATGGCCCTCCCTAACACCTAAGAGTCAGTTCTGGACACGCTGCAGATTATTTTTATCCATCATAAATTGTCGTTGTACACCCAGTTTTGCAGTGTTGTGTCCACCCACAGTGAGATGTCCCAAGAGATGTAGCAGGGATGGTCCTCACCCTTGTAGTCTCTCCTGTCTCAGGATCAGCTGGCCCTGAACCAAAAGGGAAACAGCCAATGCACATCACATCATCCAGAATTTGGGGCATAATGGGGTCTCTTGTACCTCTTCTGTGACCACTTCAGAATTTCTTTATATAAACATCCCAAACTCTGTGGAGGATGGCATGGAGTCAGCACACATACAGGTTTTTTATCTGGGGAGCAAGACTGGAACACATTGCCTGCCCTCACAGTCAGACCCATTCCATCTCCTCTCTATTTGGGTAGGACAGCACAACCTTTCTGTTTTTTCCTCCATTCCATCTCTTGGTTCCCAGGTCAACATCATAATCCCCAGAGAATTCAAGATGTGATTTCATCACAACTGCAGGCCATGAGTCCTGAGAGGTCACTGTGCTCTGCTTGCATAATCCCATCCACAGAGCCAGAAAGAGAAAATAAATATGGAGGATTTGGTGACCTTATGGTGCAGAATGGTATGATCCATACTCCAAACATCTTCTACGCTTCTTTTGTAAAGATCTAGGCTCATAACTGGAGGGATTTTTGATGTGCAAGACCCCTATGGTTTAACCCCAGCTGGCAACTAATCCCCACACAGCTCCTTGCCCACTCCCCACGATGGGATGGGGAAGAGAAACAGAAAGGGGAGAACTCATGGGCTAAAATAAAGATGGTTTAATAGGTAAAGCAAAAGGCACATGTGCAAGCAAACCAAACCAAGGAATTCATTCCTATGTGCAGGAATTTTTCAGGAATCCCCAGGGGAAAAGGGCTTCATTATGTGTAACAGTGACTTGGGATGACAAGCAACAATCACTCCAAATATTCCATCTTCTGTCTTCAGCAGAAATCAAAAACACAGCTCCACACAGCTACCATGAATAAAATTAACTCTACCCCAGCCAAAACCAGCACAACACTTCTTGCAAACTGTGAATCAATCATTCAGCCAAGGAACCTTTACCATGTCTAGAATTTCCTGTAGCTTGTTTTGATTTACTTCACGAACCTCTCCCGCCCAGATGTTCCAAGATGCAGGAGCCTTTGAGCCAAGGAGTAACCAACTTCCAAGTGGCCATGAGGTGCTAATATCCCTTTGCCACAGGGCTGGCATCATGGACCAAGCTCACAGCTGCAGGGTATGGACATCTGAAAGCACTGACAGAATATAAGAAAAAGAAAACAGTTCAGACACATGACCTCAGGGCTAACATTTTGTTAAAGAATATTTATATATTAACACCGTTCCCTCTGATAAAGAAATTATTTAGGCTCTGCTTGAAAAAAAACTCCTCACCTATTGCTTTATCTTCCTACACAAGGGTTTATTTTGCCACCAGGCTAAATAAAGTAATGTAGTGAGAACCCTTTGGCACCTGCTTGCACGTTTGCATCTGGGAAGAAAATGTTTCTGACCACTCTCTTTCCCTGTGTGCAGTCAGTTTATAGAGCCAAAGCTACCCCTAGGGCTCAAATCTCCTACTTGCTCTTGGAGCAATCTCTTTCCAAGCCAGCAAGTGTCGGGATGGTTGGAGGGAGTGGAGCCTGACCAACCATTCCTGGCGGCGTTCCCCAAAAATCAAAGTGCGACAAAGCGTTCGGAGGATGCCTAATTATGTTACAAGGTGTGAGGAACTTGGAACCATAATATTGAGATTGCTATAGAGAAGATTATTGTGCCTCAAATTTTCCAGTGTGGCAAGCTTATAAAAAGTAAGCTTTTTATTTTATAATGTTTTTATATTATAATTATATTTTAACTCTCACTTTTAAATGCATAAAAAGCTGTAATGTTCTATAACCTTGCTGAACTGGAAAATCTGAGGCATGCACATTTGGTGATGATGACAGTTTGATGCATGGATTTTTTGGGGTTGGTCAAATGCCCTTGTCAAAATTCCATAATTGCATCTTACCCATATGTAGGTTTTTACACTCAGTCCCATCAAAGTCTCATTCAAGACCTTAAAATAGAGTTTAACTTACTCACAGAGGTTGTGTTGGTCTTACTGAGTTGATTCACCCAAGCTCACAGTAATAATAACAGTAATAAATGATTCTTAACAACATCATTGTGTTATTTCTGATTGCTCCCCCCGGGATTCATGCATGTTACAAAGGAAGCTGAAATCACTCTGCTTTTAAGGTAAAACACACCCAGCTTACCAGGGGGATGTTAATTAGACTTTGGGCATCCATGTTTTAATCTTCTTGCTTTCATCATTTTCCTACACGTGAAACGTTTAAAAAAGTGTGGACGCAAATGAGATAAACATCTGCTCCACCTTGGAATCATCCATCCAGCCCATAATTCAGCATGTGGCAGGGTTTCAGTGGTGAATGTGGCTCTGAAAAGGGCAGACAAAAATAGCATCATCTTCCCAGGGAGTCAGGCCAGACTGCTGGTGAGTGTTAATCAGTGTCTGCTCTCCAGATCTGCCTGCTCAAGGTGTGGTTCATCTCCACCAAACCTTACTGGCTTGCTTTGAGATGTTCCAAGTTGATTTTCCAGCTCATTTCTCCCATCCAAGTAGGTCTCACAGTAGGATTTCTCCTGGAGGGGCCAAACAAATAACAGATTAATTCTTGTCTCTCTGATCCAAGCCTGGTGGGACACCAAGTACAAGTGGGCACACACAAGGCATCAAAATGGGATGATGAGCTGCACCATGCTGTGGTGCCAGTGGAGGAGTTAATGATCCCTTACTGTCCCTCCTGGGTGGTGAACCCATTCTCGAGTGTTTTCTGTGCAACCTTTTCCTAAAATTAGCTTTAAAGGTACCCCCGAGCACAGGGCTTCCCAGGGGTGCTCCAGTGTGCTCAGCCTGTGGCACAGTGGTACTGTGCAGGTGACTGGTGAACAGAAGCAGTGCTGAGGTGACATTTAACCAAAAAATGGGCCTGCCTGTCCTGTGCAAGAAGCTCACAGTGGTCCCTTCTGGATTTGAAATCTGAGAGGTACCTGCATTTGGCAAGGGCTTGCAGGAATGGAAAAGCAGCCCCTCTGCCTGGACCAGACTTCTGAAGCTCCAGCACTGGCTGGAGAATCGGGCCAGGTGGGATTTACCCCTTGCTCTTGCCAATGTGTAACCTGGCAGGGCTGATCCTCTTGGATACAAATTCCTCCTCCTCTCCTCTGGTGAAAGCAGGGAGCCAGAGAGCAGCAGCTCTCAAAGGCATCTGTTACCCCAGGGCGACTTGCACTGCCTGCTGTGAAAAGCTGTAAATTACACACCAATAACTGCATGGAAATGGCTGGGCAAATATTTTGAAAGAGGGGAGAAACCTTGTAGAAACCACTGCTTTGTGAGTCACTTATGGGTGGAAAAAGGTGAACCCAAAAGATATCCCTGGCAAAAGATTTGCTGGACATTATCCATCCTCACAGCACTTCTCCCTCTCTTCTTCCCCCCCTTTCATATCTCCTTTCCCTTTTACTCTTGCTATTCAAAGCCTGATGAAACCATAGTTTCCAAATTGATTTTTTTTCCCCCTTCCAAATTTCTACTGTCAATAAACACTTCAAAGGTAAAGAGAACTCCTATGCTAGAACTTCTAGCCTGGAGCTGACTTTTACAGCTCTGTAATAAACCCCTTTAACAAAATGTTTATAATGGCCATGGCACTTGACCACTGCAGTGCTTTCTGTCACCCCCATAATACTAAGTGCCAATAAATCACCTGCACTGTCGTGGTGCCCTGTATTTATTTACAAAGCTGTTACAGGACTACTTTTTGGTTTTATTGACCAAGTGGAACAAAAGCTGAGATTCTTCATTCTGTGGGTTTCTTGGGAATTTGAGGGGCTTTCCTTTGCTCAGGAGAGTAGATAAGTGCCACCTAAACCTCCAGCTGGCCTCTTGTACCTGAGGTATGTAATGCTGCTATTTTTGGAGGTGCTTCACAGGGGATCAAGCCCAGCTCAGATGTGGGGGGGTGCAGTGGTTGCTTGGCAGGCAAAGCCATGTGCATCGCCCAACCTGTGCTGGAGCTGAGCCTGCAGCCAAAAATAGTTTAGAGGGGAGGCACCAGCCTGCACTGAGGTGTGGGGCATGAGGAAAAGGGCTTTTTTTTTTTCTTTGTAGGCACTGCTCAGAAGCCTCCCTGCCCCTGCTTATGGCAGAAGGGAATTTCTGGGCTCTGATTTCCTGGCCTGTGTTAGGCTGGGCAGGGCACAGAGCTCAATTATTTCTCTTACCACCCAGTTCTGACCCTGCTTTGGTCTCTCAGGGTGTTGTACTGGGGCTTATGAACTTCACCATTCCCCTTTTGCAAAGAGCATTTTTTTGATCTTTAGTCTGTTGAGTCTTCCTTACATTTCACTCACTGATAAGCAGAAGTATTAAAACCATAAACCCATAAAACAAAATTTCTTCTTCATCCTTGTCTCCTGCAAGTTTTCATCTCTGCACTAAAGGTTTCTGAAGACAACTCCCTACTTGTGACAGAGGATGAAGAAGAGCAGAATTAGAGATTGCACTATGAGCATGGACACACTCCTGGTTTGAAATTAATGCATAAAAACCAAACTGTTTTCTCCAAAAGAGTAAACACAGTAAATTTTCCAACTGTGTCAATAACCCCAGGACAGAACGGATTTTGAGGCAGCAGTGGATCATACAGAAAAACAAGATGTAGCTGTTGGAAATTAAAAGTTAATATTAGAAGTAAAAGGGCAATCAGCCCCAAAAGCCACCTGCGTCCTCTTAGAGTGTGTTTTGAAGATCCTTCCCACATACTGTGTTAGGAGCTGCTGCCTTTGAGTGTATCACCTGGTTGGAATTTTTCACGGAGCTTGAATTTATTAGAAAACAGTCCCAGTCAAGCAGAACTGTGCAAATTAAATTGGATTTACATGACAAGGTGGAGCTCAAGCACAGCAGCTAGGAAATGCCTGAGAAGCAAAAGACAAACCAGAGGGGATCAGGGAGGAAGGCTGCTCTGTGTAAACAGGGTTTAAAAAAAAAAAAAGGAAAAAAATGTTTGACAAATAGCGCAATAAAATTAAAATTCCCGCTTTGGCTGCCCTGGGGGTTTCAAAAGGAGACACTGAGAGAGACTTGGACACTAGAGGAAATAAACAGATTTGAGCATCTCATAAGAGGGAGGCTGGAATATTATTGCAGGATAAAGTGTTCTGGGATGGGACGAGCTGACCCAGAACATGTTCCTGTTGTGAGGAGGGCGAAGACTTGATCTTCAACCCCAGTGGAGCCTGGAGGACTCAGTCCAGTGCCTTCAATAAGCTTTGGGAGAAGCCTGACTTCCTTGTAGGCATTAGAAGCTTCATATTTTCTTCCCTGTCGGCTCACACTGCTGCCTATTATCTTATCAAAACATGGTTTCTTCATCAGTAATGCGTAGGTTTCATCTGAATCTGTAAAAACTGAATTGCTTCCATATGCCAGATGTTTCACTGGAGAGACCCTCCACTTTGGGAATGTCATTACTGCCCAAAATAATCTGCTGCAAGTCGTAATGTAAACTCAAAGTTATTGCAATTTATTAGCAATCACAATTTGCCAGGAAAATAGAATCAAGAGAGTATCAGGGAAAGTAACTCCACTGCAAAATGAACATGCCCTCTACTTCAGTCTGAGCCCATTAATATCGAGTTTCCAAGTTCAGAGAGTGATTTCCTCCTGTGCCTGTACAATAAGGCAGTGCAGCATGTTTTCTCCTGAAGGAAGCAACAGGATTTTGTTGAATATATGGAAAGGAATTGGTTTTCTGGTTTGTTACTTAAAGCTGATCCTTACTGTCAACATTTGTGATGAGCAAACCTCATGAAATAACACGGCTAAAGGCTTAATCTGGTGCCACTGTGATTTGCAGGGCTAAATTGGGGAGACATGGCTGTGGCCAGGGACCAGGGAGTGCACAGTGCTGCTCTTAAAAATGAAGGGATCTGCTCCCAGAGATAGTGTGCTGCCATGGCCAGAGGTTGGGAGGGGGCACAGAGGAAATGTGGTGGAAAGAAAGTCATGAAAGAAGTGCGAAATGTGCCATTTCCTGCTGGAGCCCTTCAGCTTATGAGAAATCCTCCCTCTTGCATCCTACGTCTTGCAGTGTGGATTTGGGAGGGTGAGAAAAGGCTCTTTATTAGCAACACTTTGATTCCCCTGATCCCGGTGGGCTCGTGGCTGGGATTTCCTCCAGCTGAACGCTGATGGGAGCGGCTCCCAAGTCTGTTTGTGCAGAAATATCAACTGTGGTGTGGGGACAGCCCATCCCAGAGCCCTGGCCCTGCTCTGAGTCCTCACACAGAGGGCAGCGCTGTATCCCTTCAGGTGGAGGTGCCTTTAGAGCTGCTGAGGTCCTTCAGCGTTGGCCAGAGGCGTCCCCAGGACTGTCCCTATGGAATGGACAGGCTTGGCCTTGCTCTGGTGCATGGCCACAGTGGGCAACCCCATAACCCTTAGATTTACTCAGTCTTAGGTGATACCAAGGGAAACTTTGGATGGTGCAGTATGTGGGATCATGTCAGATATCTGGCAGTGGTTGTGTAGCCACACTGAAAAGTGTTAGCAGAGCTGTCCAAAACCCCCCTATCCACCCCCGTGCAAAGAACAACCCCTGGTTTTATGATGTCAGCATCATAAAACAGCCACAAATTGTTTGTCCCTTCATGGCACTCATTTCCCTGTCAGGGACACCCCATCTCATGTGGCATTGGCGTTTCTGAGTCACTTGCCTGGTGTGAAGCAGCAGTTGCGGGTGAGAGGATCAGAGAGGGAGGATGGAGCAAGCCAGTCCCCAACAGGGGAAACACAAGAGCTGTCATTCCCTGGGAGCCTGGGCTGGTGATAATGGATGCAAACTGGGTGTGGGACACTGCACCCCTGGCCATCGTCACAGCAGATGGAAACAGAGCACAGCCTCACCCTGTAAAGCCCACTCAGAGACGTCAGTGGCTGAACTATTTTGGTAGGAGAATAAAAGCCTGAAAGGACCCCACCCCTGGAGAGTTTGCGTGGTGGATGTTGTGCCCACCCGCCTTGCTTTAGCATCAAAGCCAGGCTCTTCCTGTGAGCAGCACCACGTGCAGGAATAACAGGCCACTTTGGGCATAGGAGGAACAATTTTGGAGTTTTATCCCAGATCGGATTGCATCCTTACAGCTCTTATGTTGTGGTGGAGCAGCAGCTCACTTCTGCAGCATGTACATGTCCTCCACAGGGAAAATGAGAGCCATCAAGATTTTCTTCAATGTGGACTAAAGCTGGGTTTCAACAGATCTTTTCCTTCTTTTTTTGATTTTTTTTCTGAGTTTTTTTACCTTCCTGGAAAAAAAAAATACTGTGAAATTTTGTTCCACTCTTTGAGTTTAATGGCAGGTTTTTTCCCAGTAATTTCAGTGAGATTGCAGGTATTTGTGGGTGTTTCCACCAGCCAGTGCCCAAGTGTAACAGCTGAGCTGGCCTGAAAAAAAAAAAAAAAAGGTTTCTTACAGAGAAAAGGAAAATGGAGTTCTGCTGGAAAAGCTTTTGTTTGGCAGTGGCTAGAAAAGGTTGTTCTGGGACTGATTTAAGGAGCACTGGGTAAACTTATGCA